TTCTTTTCTTCAGTGGGAATGAAATTGCTCTGAATTTGGATGGAGCAAAATGTGGCAAAGTACTTTTAGGTACAGGTGCACCAATTGGGATTACAAATTAGATTTTTATTTTATTTATTTATGTATTTATTTTTGTCTGAAAAGTCACCAAATATCGCAATGAAATCATTACGTTGGCAAAAGTTGAATAACTATTGCTAACTGCATACATCAGTCTGCCACTGCCTCCATTTGCTCCACGGGAGACAGTGGCCGATTTCCAGACCTTTGGATATGTAAATAAGATTGGTTTCTTATGTAAGTCTTCGCATATTTCCCAAAATTAAGGTAATCAGCACCCTGCTAAACACTCGAGGCAGGCGAAGGGTCAACTTTTAACACGGCATTAAGCCTGAAAACATAGTCAAAGGCTCAAGGGAACTGATTAGATCAAAGAATAGCGAAATGATAGAATGGCCCAGTCAAAGCCTAGAGGTAGACCTGAATGAGAAGCTGTGGCAAAACTCCAAATTGCTGTTTACAGGCACTCTTCATCCAGTGTGACCAAGCTTGAGCTATAGTGTGACAGAATAACGAGCATTTTCAGATATGGATATTGTCCCAAAAAAAAAAAAAAAAATCCCTTCCAGCTGTGATCACAGCGAAAGGTAAATCATCAGATTGTTTACTCGAGTTGCCTGAACACAGACGCGCGCCACAACTTTCTGATTTTGTTTCTGTAAAGACCGAAAATCCATTTTGTTTTCCTCCCACTTCACAATTACGCCCTACTGCTTGCCTGTCACATAAAATCCCACCAAAACACACACAGAGGGTTTTGACTGAAAAATGAGGAGATGTAAAACAAAACAAAAATACTAATAAAAACAAACAAAAAAAGTTAAAAGGGTGTGAAAACTTTCGCGAGGCGTTGTAGCCGAGCCTGGGGTGACCGGGAGGCAGAAGTGCAGCAGTGCAGTGCAAGATGGAGAGTTGGCTGTATTGCTGATGACAGGTGGGATGCTGCAGAGGAGGAGAGTCCTCTGTAATAAATCTTGAGGCTTTTTGTGGCAGCCTCTACATTTACAGCCAATTACAGCACTTCATCGACTTGTACAAGGATGGGGGGGGGGTTGTTCTTTAGAGAGGGATGATTTATATTGAGCAGATAACTGATAACAGTCTTTATTTTAAGTACAAACAGCCAGTTAAACCAAACTGAACAGCAGTTGTTCTTTGGAACACGGGAGTGGATCTTTAAAGCCGAGAGATTTAAAAGGGACTAAGGAGTTTCCCTAGTGGGGATCCGTGTATGCAGAGAGCCCCTCCATTATGCGCTCCATTTCTCCTTCCCAATACTTCTCCCTGCTAACACGCCACCCCTCCCCTCTCACTTCCACTGCACACAGTAAATCCAGAGCCTGCAGTGCCTGATCGAGCCAAACCCTTAAAGATCCATAAGATGCAGTAGTAAACTCTCAGCTTGCACAGGGAGGAAGAAGAGGGACTGAACTGCATGCGAGTTTATGGCAGAACACCTGCACTGGACAAGTGAGCAGGGGTCAAATGCTAAGATAGACATACATAGGAGAGAGAAGGGAGGAGGTGGGGGGGGGGGGGGAGAAAAAAAAATCACCTTCAGCAGAGCACCAGCTGGTCCCGAGCTTGAAAGCAGCAGAGAGGAGACAGAAGAGGTGCTGAGCGGCAAAAAGGAGCAGAGAAAAAGTGACTGGAATGATAAGATGAGAAGGTGAGTTTCTAAACATATTTGAAGGCTCTTCTTCTAGCACACACATTTAGCCACACCCTGGGCGAGAGAAAGAAGAAAAAAAAAACCCAAAACACTGCAGTATCTTGTCGGCTGTGTCTTTGCCTGCCTTTGGACCAACTCATGCATGAGTCCTCTGTGGAGTCGTTACCAAAACCCATCTATTGGACTAGTTTTCCTCCTCTGAGAGCATGGGACTGACTCCACTGACAACCACTGATGAGTGAACACAAACTGATGCCAGGGAAAATGACTGCAGGGATTTGTCCTCCTTTCTGATGGATGGTGTTCTTCAATGTAGTTGAAAAATGCTCACTACAGTTCAGCTCTGGTGTTATTCGCTTGTATAAAAAAAGGGGGGACACACTGCAGGCATTATGCTGCATACATGAGAGGTAGTTCGGTGTGTTTTTGCTCATTCAGCTTTCTTATACGCCGACAAATTTCTCATTTTTTCTTTTCTTTGCTTTTTTTTTGTAACCCCCAGCAGGCCCGTGATGTTGAAGCCGTTTCTTAATGAGGCCCTCCTGGAGCTGGTGCTCGTGCTGTGGCTCGGGCTCCGCGTCCTGGCCGTGTGCCCCTCCGTGTGCTCCTGCAGCCGCAGCCACAGAGAGGTGGACTGTTTCCGGAGGAGCCTGAGAGAGCTCCCCGACGGCTTGCAGCACAACATCCTCTCCCTCAACCTGTCCCACAACCAGCTCCTCCATCTGGACGACAGGCTCGCCTCGTACACCCACCTCCGCGTCCTGGATTTGTCCCACAACAGGCTGAGCCGCCTTCCCAGAGGCCTGCCTCGCTCCCTCTGGGAGCTCCGCGCCTCGTCCAACCGCATCCAGCTGCTGGACAAGAACGACACGGTCTACCACTGGAACCTGAAGACCCTCGACCTCTCAGGCAACAAGGTAGAGAGGGCCGTCTTCATCAATAACACAATGCCTGAGCTGCGCATGCTCAACCTCAGCAAGAATCACTTCTACACTTTGCCCACCAACCTGCCTGTGCACCTGGAGACCGTCGATCTGTCCCACAACATGCTTCTGAAGGTGCTGCCGGGCTCTCTTGACCGACTCCCAAAGTTAACCCACTTCTACCTGCACTCTAACCGCTTCTCCTCACTGCCCTTTGGAGCTTTGGACAAGATGGTCTCACTCAGAGTCGTCACTCTGGGCAGCAACCCTTGGGCTTGCCACCTTCACGAGGTCGACTACTTGCTGTCTTGGACTCAGAGCACCTCTGCGCTTGTCCTCGGCTGCCCCTGCTACACCCAGCCCGTGTGTGGAGCGACGCACTCCAGCAGGACCGGAGGTTTGCACTTTGGCTCCTTTGTTCTGCCTCCTCTGGCAGTCGGTGCCTCGGATCTGACCTCGGCGTCGCCCGAAGATGGCGTCACGCCGTGGTACTGGTCCGTCTCCGCTCAGCAAAGCACGCCCCAAACCCGCAGAGAGTCTCTAAACATGGGGCACGATGCCTTCACGGAAACAGCCATCAGCATTTCCACCGTAACGATTAATCACCTGGCTGGAACCGGCAGCCGAGAGGACATAGATCATCTCATCTCAGGCACAAAGGAAGCTTCATCCTCGGCCCCGCTCCACACCGCGGACTTATCCCATTTCTCTGACAAAAGTCTCATTACCGACACATCTAAAGGAAACGGCGTGGAGCTGGCCACCGATCGATTCTTTATAACCGAGGCCTCCTCCACCCAAACAAAGAGGACAGCCACTCTCCGCACCAGAAGCGTCAGGAGACAGAATCAGTCGCCTTCCGGAGGCATCAGAAACAGCAGCCCAACCTTCTCCTGGTTTGGTTTCCTTCACAACTTGTGGCTTTTCCCTCTCGTTTTGCCTCAAGTCGTCTGACGGATGGTGTGAAGAGTTTGAGGCAAAATGTGAATTTAAAGCAAAAAATAAATAAATAAATACTAAAGCACAAGAGAGATGATACTGGAACAGTTGTTGCACCCACAGAAGCCATGTCTTCAGAGGAAGTTTAGATGATAAAAATAAATAAATAAAAGAAAATAGAAAATATGTCTTTAACCACTTTTTTTGGATTACATAAGGTTCACACTAATGCCAGCAAAATGGATTTTTTAAAAATGTGAAAATGAGGTGTTTATCTCTTTATGTCATTGCCTCAACATTTGACACCATCCTTCATGAAACCACAACGTGTGTGCGTGTGTGTGTGTGGTATTATTTTGGAAACTGGCACACAATGATTCAAACAAACACCAAGGTGCAGCGGCTTATAAAACTCTTCTCTGCTATGTTACAACTGCAAAACTTCGGTGCATTTCATTAGGATTTTATATGGTTGAAAGGTAGAGAGAAAGAAGGATGCATGGTCTCTAGACGTTTTCACAAGCAAAAACCTGATTAGATTTGCATGTGTTCACTGTTAAAATCTGGTATTTTTTCCTTCCTCTTCACAAAAACGAAGAGCTTCCATCTTGAAAGCCGCACCAACGTTAGAACGTGAGAAAATGTGAACCGTTTAAAGACGTGTGAATAATTATACAGGACGCTGCATGCGGTCACATTTGCTCATCCAAAGCATGTCTTGTCAACAGGGAACTGTGCCTTTACAGCAACGGACCATCCTTACGACGCCACCGACACGTTTGAAATGGTTCGCTCACGAGAGGCCGACAGTCGCATCCCATCGTTCGCCCTCAGATTCTCGTTTAAGGAACTATCTTAAAAATTGTTGAAATTCTTCCAACAAGCAATTTACAGTTTAGATTAATCGTCCACAAATCTCTGAAAGTCAATGTGGGGTCTGTGAAACTTGTAATAGTTTGGAGGTGGTTTTTTTTTTTTTTTACTTTTTTGTCTTTCTTTGTTTGTGTCTGGAGTAACTGTATTGATGGGAGTGTTTTTAAACCCAAGCGGAGGATCACCAGAAAATTAATGTGAGAGGGCCGAGAGTTCGCGGCCAATCTGCATCGGCTTTTCAGCCTCATTAGCTCCGTCTGTAATGAATGCTTCTCGGCCTTTGCAATTTTACACAGAAGAAGCCCTGATCTCCTCTGATGATCCCTCCCCGTTCTTTGTTTTTCCTTCCCTCTCTCGAACGCTCTTTTCTTGACACTCTTCAGCTTTTACATCAACAAAAAAGCTTTTTTTTTTAATAAAAAAAAAATGGCGCAACATTTGTAATGCTGCTTCTTTTAAAAGACTCTTCTTGAACATTTGCGAGGAAAAACAGAACAATGAATGTAATGAATGAAGCTGAGCACATGATGGCACTATACATTCAGCAAACAGCTTGTTGTGGAGCTGAAAAGCCTTCTTTGACTTTCTGCCAACGCTGCCTGATGTCCTCAATAGATGTTCAGTGTCATTTTTATTTTCTCACTCTTCTTTTTTTTTGAATTGCAAGTTTTATTTTGCTTTCTGAAACCCACTTTTTTTTTCTTAGCTTTTGAACAAATGCAGTGATTGTGTGGACGTCCCCAATCCCTGTTTCCTGTGATTCTGCTAACTCATTTTGAGCATTCTGTGTAGGAGCCAAAATCTCCCTGGACAGGATGTATACATTTATAATGACACGAGCTCAACAGGAAGCAACAGAGACTCTGTCGAACGGAGGGTAAACAAATGGACAATATATCTAATGAACAGGGAGTGCAGAGCGCCTCTTGCGTATTTTGATCACATCTTAGACTTAAGTGTCCTTCATGATTCACTGACGCTGGTGAAAATCATCTGCATGGCGACCGAACGTTTGGGGAATGCAAACTTCCTGGTGCTTCACTGCAGAGCGATAAAGCGTAGAGTTTGTCAGCTTCTTTTTTTTCTTTAACTGTAGAATGCTAAGATATTCAAATCCTCCTGATTGCATTAAACAGCTGTGATGCACCACTCTGCAGCTTTTTTTCTTTTTTTTTTTTGTCTTTTTACAATTTAGTGTTATTTGCATAGAGACGCATACGTTGCCAAAATAATAAGGCATGCATCACCGTACAGCAGAACCGGTGCCAGAGAATTTAGAAGTTTGTTTTGGTAACTTCTTCAAGGTTCTGCAATCTCTAATAAAACGTACGCTTAAAGCAATCAACACTCTCTGATTGTTGTTGGATTTTGTCCATAACTGCTGTCTAAATAGTGTAGTTTTCTTTTTTTCTTTTTAGAACGCTGCAAGACTTTTAAAATGCGCAATAAAGGAAGTCTGAGAGAAGAGATCTAACTTGAAGTTATTGTTTTGCTTTTGACTCAGCAGCTGCAGTGGCTCTTGAGTATATCTGCAACACATTTAAAATTCCACTTATTTGCGTTGTCAAACGATGAGAATGACATATATCGTGTACAAAAATAAGCAAAAACATGATACGTCATTAGAGATTAAAGTAACTCATCTTGAATGGATATTATTTCTCTTCAGGATTTCATGCCTGCAGTCAATTTATTGCCAATCGCTAGGGGTGTCTATACCCTGCAGTATTTTCTGTGAACCATAATATCCTCCTGGAGGGCAGAGAAAGAGGTGAGTCTGAAGAGCAGGTGACCGGTCAAAGAATGAAATGGAAAACCTGTTAATCATTTATCATGTTTGATATTGCTATATTTATTTCCTGTCTAGTTGCAGATCTCGAATCAAGCCTGAAAAACATTGATTTCTATGAATACTTCTGGGAAATAAGTGATAGAAATTACAGAACATGTGCAAAAGTGTTATATGTTTACTACAGTTCAATAGTGGAACAAAAAGAAATCTTTTTTTTTTTTTTATACAGTTTAGGAAAAAAAATGCCACGTCTGTTATTCTGTACAAATAAGATAAACTCCAGAAAAAAGAATAGGGAACTAATTGGTCTAAGCTTTTAAAAAAAGCCGAGTGTGTCGTGGTTTTTATTCTCTTAGCTTCCTCCCATCATGTCGCTGGGTCACCAATAGCGGAGCCTTGTTGAAGAAATTTTTTTAATGATGTGCAAGACAGGTCATTGTGACATCTTCAGCTCACACCTCTAGACGGGCAACAATTGTGGGAATTGTAGATATAGATCCTGGCTTTTGGTGTTTGCTGGTCTTTTTTTTTTCTCCCCCACTTCAGCCGGTGAAATGTCTCCTGTGAGTAAGACTGCAGCTCGAGTCCAAGTCAATCCGCCTTGTGCCTGTTGCAGAGGTATTTCTTTCTTTATATCTCTCCATTCTGTTTCCTTTCTTTTTTGTTAAAATCTCTGTAACGCCGTTTGCTTTCTCAGTCCATTAAATTTACTTAGATGTTCCTTTATGAGCCAGTCCCAAATTAAATGGGCCCTGAGCAGAATCTGACTTGTGGCCCAGTTCCTGTAAAGACCACACCCACCAGTCACCACCTCTAACCCCAACATCTCTTTTAAATTGTTCCAGCTTGACTGCTCTGTGTGCTGTGTTTTTAAACACATCTGTTTCCCCTTGTTTTTTTTTTTTTTTTTTTTTTTTTTTTTTTTTTTAATTACTATAAGCAATTAAAATGACCAGATCCCAGATTGGAATTTTCCTGACCATAAAATAATTTTTTTCTCCACATTGTTTACTGAGAAAAAAAAAAGAAAAGAAAAAACAAAAGCAGGAAATAAAATCTCTAGCCAACTTACTGAGTTACTTATTTAGTCTGGCAGTCATGTCTGATGTCTGACTTTCCAGGACAGACTCAAAGAACACAGGAGGACAAATGAAGCTTAATTAGCTATTCTTAAAAATTACAGAAATTTATTGCCATTAGTTAGTGTGAAATGAAAATGAGACTTCAGCACAGACAAGAATAAATAAGTGCATTAGCTGAAGAACAATTGTATTTAGCATCTTTAAATGATTGTCATTTTAGAATGCTGTCTGTTCATTTGATGGCAAAATAATTTTGAATTCTTGAAAAATATTCTTTAAGTTTCAGAGCAAATTTACAAAAAGCTTTTATGAAAAATATGAGCATTCATGGGTTTACCCTTTGAGATATGAATTTTTGTGGGAGGTTATTTGCTTTTGGCATTAAGGGACCAAACAGCAACTCTGGTTACTTATGAATTGGGCCGACTTTGCTTCTGACACTAAAAATTTTGTTGAGAGTGCAGAGGACCTCTCAATCGAGCAAGCTGCAAAAACCCACCCTTTTCACTAAATATGAAAAAAGAGCGACTTGATTTGAATTTTATTTTTATTTTTGTTTTTACAGCAGCAGAAGTAGATAGAGAAAAACTTGGGGAAAACACGTTCACATCGGAAAGTTTTTAATGGCCTTGCAAAAAATGCCCACATTAAATGAATGTCAACCAGCTGCAGCCCTGAAAATCACAGTAAGGTCTGAACTCTACAAATTCTTTAAGCCCAAACTTTTTTGGGGGGTGAGGGATCCAAACTTTTGCATTTGCTGTTTTTTTTCCTCTTCTTACTCCAAATTTGCGCAAATAATAATAATAATAAAGAGTTATTTCTTACTTGGCGTAGCTGCATGCCAGTTAAAGGGCATGACATTTTTTTCATCACATTTTGACATCAGCAGAAGCAGAACTCAACAGTACCCAAACTTTTGCGTGGCACATAATACGCATGTATTTTTTTTTTTATTTTATTGTTTTTTTTCCCGCCTGCCCTTTTTTTTTTTTTTTTTCCTGGTGTGCAACTTTGCAACATCACTTCGAAATGCTTTAGGTGCCAGCAAGCTGGCCTGCAAGCCAATTATTTTCTCTGTAGACAGCACAAAGTAATGTCAGCTTTCTCCTCTGGCTTCTCCTAATAACTGACAAGGTGTAGAGGGCGAGCATCATTTACTGCTGCCATGCCTCCCCTCTTCATCTCACCACCCGAGCTTGTTTTCAGTGTGTTTCCCTCTCACTTCCAGCCACATCCAATAAGACTCACTCTCGGTGTACTTCTTTGTACTGCCCTCTTGTGTTCTTGAGCATTTAATTTCCACCCCCCTCACTTTTTCTCCGACTGTAGTGTACGGACAGGCTTTTAAAAAAGGCACGCATTACTCCAATAACACATGCAGTCATTGTGCGAGGGCACGGGGCGTTTTAAGCGTTGAACATCTTTGTTGCAGACAGGTCGATTCTCTGCTGTTTTTGTAAGATGCAAAGCTGTCTCCTCTGCAGAGTTTGTTGCTCCCCTGCAACTGTACATCTTCCCTGAGATGTAATACAAGAGAAACAAGACTAAAGACTCTAGAAAAAAGAAAAACTCCAGCAACTCGACTCGTCCTTCTGCAATCTGAAGAATGCACGTTGTCCTTACTGTGTGTGAGAAAGGCCACTGTGGACTCAGTGAACCTGGATTAGCTTCCAATCTGTGCACCAGTGTAAACACAACAGTAAAACAGGGCAAAGATATGTAATTAGAGCTGCTGCTGCTGCTGCATACACATGCTCCAAGTGCCCTCTTGTGGTGACTGACGCTGTTTAGCATTGAAGGTTGAAGTCAAACATACACTAAGTCAGATGGAGGTTTTCGAGTCTGAAAGCACAAACAACCTTCCACAGCTAACTAACCAAAACTCTCAAAGTTAGGTCAGTTGCATACGGAGGTAATTATGGGCTTAAAAACATTCTAGAGGTAAAGAGCATTCATTAAAATCTTTGATAGTTTTCTTTTGGAAACGTGCAGGCTTGTTATATTCAACATGAGAAATATTAAAAAAAAAAAAAAGTCTAAAAGAGACAAAAAAAAAAAAAGCTAGTACAAAGTAGCCAAGTAGGCAATGGAAAATTGCAGAAGAGTAGTTTCAAGATTCTTCTGTTTTTCTACAATTAAATTTAAGATAAACTTGGTTTAGTTTTAAATGCTCCTTAAATAACTTTAAAAAAAAAAGTCTAGCAGCTCACATGAAAGATTATTTGTAGATGAGACAAATTATGAAAGTTTTCACTAATCTGCCATGAACCTGCAGAGCCATGGTGCACCTCTTGTAATTCCTGTTATCACAGACCAGAGCTATTGTGCTACATGCATAATGATACACAAAGTGACTTACCTTTGACAAGGCCACTGCGGTCCGCTCCTGGCTAAAACAATGGCCCGAATTTCGATCCGCTTTGATCCTCGGGTCACATTATCAATTGTGGCCCCGGAATTAAGCTGGTACCCAACCAAAGGACGCTCAAACGCTGCAGATAAACTTTATCTGATCAACCTAATCTGTATTGACAGCCTTGGTCTATATGCCAAAGCTCGATATCGCTTTGAGCCAAGAGCCGTGTTTTTCTGTCTGGCCACTGATCAGCCAAAAAGCAAAAAAAAAAAAAAAAAAAAAAAAAAAAAAAAAAAGGGGGGGAATTCAAAAGAAAAAAACAACAACAAACCATTCTCCAGCTGCAGGAAAGACTGATGAGACAGGCAAAATTCAACCCTGCAGCGTGGTGGTGGTGTGGGTGGGTGGGTGAGTGGTGGGAGGGTGAGGTTGTGGTATCTCTCCCTCTCATCTCAATGGCACAGACAAGGGAAGGTCAGTGTTAAGGTCAGTGGTTGCAGAATGGGAAGTGGTTGGCAACTGAGAGAATGTATCGTGGCAGCTAGTTAGGGAAAAGGAGAGAGCAAAAATGAAACAAAGGAGAGGGGGTGGGGGGGACTGGTTAAAAACAGGGAATGAGGCAGGAGACAGAGAGCACCACTTTAGCCGGTTGCCCTGAGAGGCTTGCTTACCATTCTTAGCCTCGGTGAGATGTTTAAAAACGTCTCGGCCGGAGCATATTCGCTCCTATAAACAGAAAGTCAGACTGAGGGCTTTAGGCTTGAGAGTGTCCGGGTTCTGAAGTGCCCACTTGGAAAAATAATAAATGCAGTTGAACACATATTTGGGGAAACTTACGAAATAATCCTCCCTTTTGAAGAAAAGAAAAAGAATCAAGTCAACTTCTCTGACTGGTCTGCTTTAGAAAAAAAAAAAA